TTAATTTTTATGAGATGAAGGAGTATCATGCCCCCACTAATTAATATTTACACACACACACATATATGAAAGTAAAAAAGTACAGATGTGCATGTTTGTAAAGATAGGGATATATATATATATATATATATATATATATATATATATATATATATATATATATATATATATGAAAGTAAAAAAGTACAGATGTGCATGTTTGTAAAGATAGGGATATATATATATATATATATATATATATATATATATATATATATATATATATATATATATGAAAGTAAAAAAGTACAGATGTGCATGTTTGTAAAGATAGGGATATATATATATATATATATATATATATATATATATATATATATATATATATATATATATATATATATATATATATATATATATATATATATATATATATATATATATATATATATATATATATATATATATATATATATATATATATATATATATATATATATATATATATATATATATATATATATGAAAGTAAAAAAGTACAAATGTGCATGTTTGTAAAGATAGGGAGACTTAAAGACTTTAGTAGGTTTATAAAGACTTTAAGACTTTAAGAGACCTGCTCACATGAGGTGAAAGTCTCTGATGATGACCTGTGATGTTTGATAGCATGCGTATGATTTTGCGCAGTCGTGTGTTAGGAATATAGTTAGTGTTGTACTCTTTAGGGTGTAGAGAATGTGTATGACTTTACGTTTGTCTTTCTTCCTTTGATGAGATTGTCACGGCAGAATTTTTTGTTGAGACTAAGCTATTTATTAGCTTAACTCAAAAAAGCAAGAGTCTCCACCGAACTTTATTATTTCCAAAGGGAAAAATCGAACAAAACTCGTAAAAAGCTATAAAAAAGAGAGATCTGGATATGAGAATTGGTTATGCAATGGGAATGTATTAGCACCTCTCACATTTGTGGTACTCCACAGGAACCATTTGCTTATCTGTGTTTAAAAAGGTTATGCTATTTGTTGATTGATTTTAAGTGAAAAGACATTTTTTCATATTCGCGTGGAAAACTTAACTTACTATCCACTTGTATGAGGGAATGAGTATTTTCATCAATCTTGATATGGAGAACTTTACTTGGTCTTTCTTACAAGTACATCTCAATATTCAAGAGGAAAATGTCAATCATTTCTCAACATCTTGTAGAATTATAATGGTTTGCATCACTACAAGAATATACTCATATCTAATCTTTTGAAAAAGGCTCTTAAAAGAAAAAGGTGCACCAATGCACAAAAAGAAGTTTGACGAGGTTTGTGTTTTTTAGAGGTTTTGAAAAGAGTTTGAATATGGATAAGTGTTCTAGCATTTATTAAGAAAAATTTTTATGGATCACTTGACAAATTCAATGTTTATTAAGAAAAAAGTGTGAAGTTTGAAAATGAGAAGTTTTTGAAATAAAGAAAACGTTTGAAAATTTAAGAAGGGGGGGGGGGAGATGAAGAGACTATCCTAAAGCAAAAAGTAAATGGTCTCATTGTCAGGTAATCCATGAGAAAACCTTTGTGTGTGCAAGTGTACTAACCAAGAAGGGGCAAGCATTTGACATTAGTCAAAATAATCATTCCTTTCCCATTGGATTGAAACACAAGATGATCAAGCAATGAGCAGATGAATATCACAATGTCTAGACAAAGATCACAAGGTCCCAGATCAAAGCCAAGTCTCAGATGAATCAAAGGCCCAGATGAATCTTAAGTATCAAGTATCACAAAATATTAGATGAATCTCAAAGTAACAAATGAATCAAAGTCTCAAATGAATCACTCCAAGCAAAGGAAAAGAAGTCCTAGATCTAAGTTCAATAGTCCAAAATCTCCAAGCATAGGATAATAACACAAAATCCTTAAGGACGGTCTAAGGACATCTCCTTAAGTGTGACCTTTTACAAATATAACACTATATATATATATATATATATATATATATATATATATATATATATATATATATATATATATATATATATATATATATATATATATATATATATATATATATATATATATATATATATATATATATATATATATATATATATATATATATATATATATATATATATATATATATATATATATATATATAAAATACAACACTACTATATATATATATATATATATATATATATATATAATACAACACTATTATATATATATATATATATATATATATATATATATATATATATATATATATATATATATATATATATATATATATATATATATATATATATATATATATATATATATATATATATATATATATATATATATATATATATATATATATATATATATATATATAATACAACACTACTATATATATATATATAGTAGGGTTGTATTATATATATATATATATATATATATATATATATATATATATATATATATATATATATATATATATATATATATATATATATATATATATATATATATATATATATATATATATATATATATATATATATATATATATATATATATATATATATATCACTACAAGAAAATTTGTCAATACCCAGGGCCAAAAACCCTCGGTAACAAGAAAAAGCCGTGGGAAAAGTAAATTACCGAGGGCTTACCAACGACTATGGGGCCCTCGGTATTTCGCTCCTTGGTAACGTCTACCGACGGCTATATAAACCCATGATATTATCCACGGCTAAACCGTGAATAGTTTGCGGGTAATAGGTTATCAAATATCAAATTTTTTGTCTTATATTATCCACGGTTAAGCCGTCAGTAAATTTACCGAAGGCAAAGCCGTCTGTAAATTTACCGAGGGCTAAGCCATCAGTAAAGTTACTCAATTTTTGGTATAACTTTACTGACGGTTAAGCCATCTGTAGTATTATAATTTTTTTAATCAAAAATACCAATATTTCATCAATAGACTTATTTTGTTAATATTTTCCCTGTTTGAAGACAATATGAATATTTTTTCGTAACATCTTATAAATATTTTTTCATAACAACTTATTAATAAATAAAAACTCTTTTATGAATATTTTTTTATATTATAAATCTACAAAACTCTTTTTTTATCATGACCATAATTATATATAACATTTCAACAAACAAATCTCAAACAAAAACTCAAACCTTAATATCAATGAGATCTCAAAAAATATTCCATTCAACAAGTTTGATGTAAACAAGCTTAAACAAAACATAAAACATGTTCAATCAAAATATAATGTGATTGTCAAAGTATTCTCATGAGTAAAAGTAAAGCATAATATGATCTTAAATGCTTCCAATAGAGTCATCATCACTGTCGGAGTCATCATCATAGTCTGAATGACGACGACGACGTTTGTCACCTTTGATAGAAGCAACACTTTCAGCTAATTCCCTCAATTGTCTTTCCAAATCTTGTGTGCGTTTATTTGCCTTGCGACATTCCTCTCGTGCAACTCGAGCATCTTCCTCTGCAGCATTTGCTCTCTCTTCAATTGTTGCCATTTGTGCAGCAATCTCAGCAGAAACTTGACCGCTACATGTAGATACACGTGACTGTTGGGTTATTAACGAGGAAACACCTGGCTTGTAATGCTTAGACAAGTCACCAGCACCATAGAGACGCCCTCTAGTCTTTCCACCGGCAGCTTCAGCCCAAAAATTTAGTCGAGTTGCAGAATCAACTTCCTTAGGGCCACTATTTGATGTCTCTCCTACTTGAGAGGCGTGTTTTAGCTTCTCTTGAAATGTTTCCTGATAAAAAAATACTTAAAATTATATACATTACAATATTTTCACGATACGAACTAACAGAACAATAATCATTTAATTGTTTGTTGAAAGTAGCAAAAACAGGAATTTCGACCAAAATCTATTAATTGTATGTAACTTGTCCTTTTCAAATAAATGGTATTAAAGATTTTATCCAAGCATACATCAAAATTTAGTAATTACACTTACATATGTCTTCTTTGATCTTTCGTCCACCCATGAGGAGTCCTTCTTTTTTGTATGAGTCCTTAAGAAGACTTCATCTAATGTGGGCTCTCTACCTAATTCCCGACGCTTATGCATTATAAAAAATTGATGTCAAATGTTAGGAAAAAATAAATTATGAGCTAAAGTTTAAGGAATCAAGTGTTTAAAATGAATGACATACCATTCGTATGATGTGCTCATTTGTGGATATGGAGCCACCCGTATGGACAGATCCACCCTTAGCAGATGCCCGATTTTTCTTATTCCTGGCAGCTTTGACCTTATACTCTGGTGTTTCCCATTTAATTTTGAGCCCTTTCCAAGCACCCTCTCCCATCCAAGATGGACGTTCTTGTTTCTTCCTTGCATCCATCAGAATCTCTGAGAGGCGCTTTGAGCCTTTGCTCTTAAAGATACTCTTGAGTTCAAACTCATCCTCAGGCCGCCAAGCAACTATTTTCTGCAACATTTTAATAATAGACAAATTAAGAAGCAACGGATTAGAAGACCAGGTCCAAACCTCAAAACCAGAAGAAAAAAAATCATATAACATTAAAATAATAGTTCCTTGCAATGCAACCTATGCAGCTAAATTATATTGTTGTCTTATCGTCCTCCAATTTGATTGAAATGCTAAACCTATTTACAAACGAATCATCCCTTTTCTAACCATACTTTTATCTTTAAATAAAACCACATCCAACTGATTGTAAGTTGTAGCAATGATGTGAAAACAAATAGCTTCATTGTATGCATATAACACTTCCTATCATTCATAAGTCTTACCTCCCTCACCACGCACCAACTTCACGACATGCAAAGAATATATACACCTTTCTGAACAAAACATTGCACCTAATTAACCAATCATTAATTTCATCCCCTAAACTATAAAAGGAAACTCTTTCTTTCTATTTCTTCACACCACCACCAGGCAACAATATATGCACCAGTGTCTTGTGACTAATACTATATTCTTATTTCAAAATAACACTTCAAAAATTACTAAATATGAATAACGTCATGCAACAATCTCTCATTTCAACCTCAGTCCTTCTCCTTGCAATTACTTTCTACACCACCACCACTTTAGCCCAACTCTCACCAATTCAACCTCCAACAACAACAGCATCATCACCACCCTTACCAACAACAGCATCACCACCATTACCGGCAACAACAGCAACAGCACCAACACCAGGACTAAACACAGTTCCACTTGTACCGACAACACCAACTGGTGCACCATCACCCCTCATCCCAAAAGGACCTACCATTGACATAATCAGCATCCTCCAAAAAGCAAAGAGATTCTCTGTCTTAATCCGTCTTCTGAAAACAACACAATTAATCAACCAACTCAACTCACAGTTAGTATCATCATCAGGTTCAGGTGGTTTAACAATTTTTGCACCAGAAGACAGTGATTTCTCTAAACTCAAAGCAGGGTTCTTAAACTCTCTATCTGATAGACAAAAAGTTGAACTCTTGCAGTTTCACACTCTTGCTTCATTCATTTCAATCTCAAACTTCGATACCTTAACCAACCCTGTTCAGACACAGGCCGGTGATGATGCTAGGCTTCAACTTAATGTTACTACTTACGGTGGAAACCAAGTTAGTATGGCTACTGGAGCCGTTAATGCTTCCGTTACCGGTACTGTTTAGTTATTCAATTTAATAGAAGTACATAAATTAGCTATCCTATTTAGTTATTAATAACTCTCTATCAAAACTAAACAAATTATAAATAAATTAGAAGTACAGAAATTAGAAAAACTAAACAAATTAACAAACTTACCCCAAATTTCGTGAACATCCTATTCACCCTTTTATCTGGTATCTCCCTCCAACTAATCCATGCCTTACGGAATTGTGACTCAATTACTTTGGTAAGGGCCCTCGAGGCCACCCTACACGGGTTCCACCTACATGCAAATTATAAACAAAATATTAAAATACATTATAGACACGTCAACATAAGTGATAAATTAACATAAAACAAATATGTACCCTCTCCCATATGGAAAAATATAGGGCCTCCCATCAGTTGTCTTATGAATCTCATGACAAGAGTGTCTTGATTCTTGCACCAGATCATCACTGGTTTGCACATGTAGCGAACCAGATTGAGTGTTTGGATCCGACATATGTCGTGAACCTTGAGCTGATGAGGAAGGATCTCTGACATGTAAAGATGTTTCTATTGCCTCATGTGGCCTAAAATCTGGAGTTGGCACCATAGTTATAGGTGGATCTTTTGGATTCTCATTGTCTTGTATCTCCGCATCCACTTGTCCAGAATCATGTTGTTCCACTTCCACTTGTCTTTCATCTTGTTGCTCCACATCCATCTGCTCCACATCATGTTGTTCTAGTTCTAGATGCCTTGCATTATGTGCATTCTTGGCTGCTTGAGTCACCTTATGCGGCAAAACCATCTTCCTTTTCTGCTTTGGTGGGATCACCCTACCTTTTCCTTTTGGAGGCATCTGTAGAGAAAAAATAATATATATTAACTTTTAAATACTAAAAATAACAAAGAACTAAAATATATGCACTAGCAACAATTTTATGCGATTATAATGAAAAAAGTAGTCATTATATACACATTTTACAATGATTCACAAGTGAAAGTATCAAAAATATTTTATATGGTTTAATCTTGAATTGCAAAACAAGTTGCTCTAGCTATTTTCTTCAACTCACTTTTGGAATGTGTTGAAGATATGGATAATATGGTGTTAGTAACTTCATCATCGATATTATTATCTTCCCTATAATCATTATCTGCACTAGCATTAATTTGCATGCTAGAAATTAATGTAACATCAACTTCTTCATCACTATGTGTTTCATCGTGCAAGCCGGTTATATCTTCAATTTCAGTTATCTGTTCAACGTGAGCCATCTCTTCATCTTGATAGGGTGTATCATCATCAATGTCAACAACCTCTATACGACCTCTGGGCTTTGTCTTTATCACTGCACACCAACCACGTTTGTCTACACGCATTTCTGGGTAAGGTACATAATACACTTGTTTGGCCTTTTGTGCAATTATGAATGGATCATAACGATCATATTTTTTGTTCATCTTGATATCTACAATATCATAATGAGGATGAACTTTTGTTCCTCTACCTCGTTTTGGATCAAACCATTGACAGTAAAACAAGGCTACTTTGTGAGATAATTCATGATACTCCAACTCAAAGATATGTTTAATGACTCCATAGAAATCATCTTCCCCACCTTCTGTAATCCCCTTCACATAAACCCCACTATTTATGGTCTTTTTACCTTGACTCCATGCTTGTGTGTGGAATTTGTACCCATTAATGAAGTATTTGTGCCAACTCATGGCATTTGATTCAGGACCCCAAGCTAATGATATTAGTTTTTTGTCTGTCACACCATTTCCCTCATTAGTGGCCTACACAAACATGAAATTCACAATAAAGATAAAGTGATTAATTTTTTTACAAGTTTGAATGACAACACTTACATACTCTCGAAACCATTCTGGGAATTCTCCATGTATAAGAGTTGAAGCTGAAGGATCCTCTTCATTGATGGACTTATTTTGCAAGAAAATACTGGCAATAAAGAGAGAATTATTGTGATGTATGTATTGTAAATGTTTATTTTGTGCCTATCTTTGTTTCATTACTTACTTAATATATGGCTTAACCTCATTGCAATTAATGAGAATGTGTACATGAGCAGATCTCCATTCAGCATCAGTCAACCAATGTATTTGGGATTTTCCACTAGGACGTCCAAGAGGGTTGCTTATTGACAATGTTGGCACTACATCATCGTTCAGTCCTAACGCTTCATTATGTTTGCTTGTGGCAAATAAGGTGGCCGTTTTGAAATAGTGGGAACAAAAATATGTTGTCTCTCGGTGTAAATACGACATACATATTGAGCCTTCCACTCTAGCCTTATTCTTCACTGACCGCTTAAAATCTCCCATCATTCTTAAAAAAAATGAGTGTTAGATCTTCTATGAAATGTGAAAGATTTAAAATGAATAAATTAATAATTAGGAATGTATGCAAAATACCTTTCAAATGGATACATCCATCGATATTGTACAGGACCACCAAGTTGTGCCTCATAGGGAAGGTGAATTGGAAGATGCTCCATAGAATCAAAGAATCCTGGTGGAAATATTCTTTCAAGTTTGCATATGATGACTGGAATGTTATCACCTAATTTAATCAATTCATCTTTTCTTAAGGTATTGCTGCATAATCCCTTAAAGAATTGACTTAACTCTGTAAGTGGTTTCCATACAACCTCGTTCTCATTTCCCACATCCTCGTTAACATTATATTCGTTATCGACATCCTTATCACCTTTGTTGCCCATACTTCGAAAATCATAATCAGGCCCTATTGCATCCTCGACCATATGTTGCATTAATTCAAAATGGTCTTCATTATCCACATGTCTACTACTAATTGGTACATTTGCTGAGTCAATACGTGGGGCTTTTTCACCGTGATCTGTCCAATACCAATAATTTGGTTGGAATCCATATTTATACAAGTGAAATCTAACGTCACCTTCGGACAATACCGGCACACACATGCACTTGTTACAAGGACATCTAATTCCACCATCGCGTTCAACATTAAGTTGCATTTTAGCCTTTTTAATGAACTCATCAACCCCGTTTACAAAGGTTAGTTTCAAACCCCCCCTATGAGGATAATGCCTATCATATACCCAACTACGTTCTGGAGGGTAACGATCCATATACAATCAGCAATCTAGACAGAAGCTATCTAGACAGAAGAAATAAATTAAAAAATCAGCAGTCCACACAATCTAACGATCCATATACCCAACTACGTTCTGGAGGGTAACTACATATATCTCTATTGAATTTAGATAGTTCAATCTAACTATCCAAATAAATTATAAGAACACAAATCTACCATGTTGCAAACTACCATGTTGCAAACTACAAATGTTCTCAAGTTCCAAAATTTATAATTGATTTAAAACTTGAAATAAATGGACAAAATTAAGAGTAAACAAACAAAACCGATATTTCATACCCAAAAATATGTTCATGAATAGACATGATATATTCAACTATTTTCATTTGACATTTTCTCATTATTACCGGTGCATTTGTCAGTGTTATTTTCTGTGCCAGTGTTTGAGCATTGTTAATTTCAACTTATATACAACAAATAGGATATATAACTTGTATAAACATACTAACTCAAGCTTGTGTATATTTAATAATAATGAATTATAATCTATACGGAGAAATGAAGCAGAAAAATAACAGGGTTCTGTTACCTGAAGAACTGAAAGTGACAGAAACCAAAAGCTGGAGAACTGAAGAACTGAAAAATAACAGGGTTCAGCTTGATTCCAGCAGCAACAGAAACCAAAAGCTTGTCCTTAAAGTGACTTCAATTTCAACGCAACTTTCTTTTACTGCAACAACAACAACAACAACAAAGCTAGTCAATAACGACAATGTTTCTTTCCTAAATAATGTTCAAATCGATGAAATACCTGATTAAGGTTTAACCGAGAAAACGTCGATGTTGCTCGCACGATGGAATACGCTGTAGTTGGAAGAAAGGACGATGATGCTGATGGTCTCAAAAGTGGTGCAACGAACAGGGTTAAACTGAGTGCTTACGATGCGGGAAGGTGGAAAGACGCAGTAGAAGGTTGGGTGAAGTGTCGATTGAAGGTTGTTTGAGAGAGAAAGACGGCGATTGAAGGTTGTTTGAGAGAGAAAGACGGCGATTGAAGGTTGGGAGATTCAACGATTGGAGTTAGAAGATGGAAACCCTTGTTTTCCTTTTCAGTTTTTTTTTTCTTTTTTCTATTTTCTATTTTTTTTTTAAATTTTATCCTAAAGTATGAGATTGAGAGGAGTGAGGATCATGTTGACTTAATATTTTTTCTTTTGAAATGTGTAAAATTTTATTTATTTTAGATAAATATCTATTTTATAGTTATATATTATTATATAAGTTACAAAGACAACAAATGTTTAAGTATAAGATTTTAAGTAATTTTTAGTTCCTTTTAAAAATATCATTAGTTTTTTTTTTAATTTATATTAAAAAAAAATTATTGATTAATAGTATATATAAGTTTATAAGACTTTACCGAGGGTTTAACCGTGGGTAATTACCGACGGTGCAAAACCGTGGCTGCTTTCCATGGCTAAGCCGTGGATAATGTTTAAAAAAGATATAATTGATATTGTTTCAGGTACTCACGAATTACTGACGAATAAACCCTCTATACCAAAAAATTATCGACGACTACATGGCCGTGGGTAATGATCCGTGGGTATATACAACTTTTCTTGTAGTGTATATATATATATATAGTAGTGTTGTATTTGTAAAAGGTCTTACACACATATAATAAGAATTATGTATTTATATGAGAATAATAAGAATAATTATTAGCCTTTAGATTAAAAATAAATGTTTGAGATTAAAAAAATTCATTTAAGAAATATGTGTGTGTCTCTTTCATCATTTATTATTCATATGAAAGAGACACACATGCTTCTTAAATGAGCTTATTGATCTCGACCATTTAATTTTAATTTAAAGGCTAATATTTGTTCTTATTATTATCATATAAAAATAGTATTCTCATTAGATATG